TTCACAGTTTTGTAAGATGGCTATTCCCCCCCCTTGGCGTTAATGAATTAGAAAAGGCTATAGTAAATATCTCGGCCACAATAGAAAAGCTTGAAAACTTGACGATGGATGCCCTTCAGGGACTCCAGACGGAAGTACCATCCTTAAACAAGGTAACATTACAAAACCGCATGGCCCTGGACCTTCTGACTGCGAAAGACGGGGGAGTGTGCATACTAATAAATCAAACCTGCTGTTCCTATATAGACCAGGAGAAACGAGTTGAGACCGACTTAGAAGCTATCTGGGAGCAGACTAGAATTCTCCACGAAGTGACTAAAGATGATACTTCACAGGAGTTCTCTGAATTATGGAACAAGTTAACATCTTGGTTGCCAAATTTATCATGACTAAGGCAATCGTTTGTTACGACAATTATGATTATAATTCTGGTTCTGGTATTGTGTGTGACAATTTGGTGTGCTTTATGGTGTTGTCAGAACACGTGTAACTCTTACAGTGAGTGGAAGAAGAATCGACTGCGGCAACAACTCGAATCTAACGAGTATTTTGAAATGAGGCTAGGTAAAGAATCAGGCATTAACTAGGAATAGTAAAAGAATTTACTAATTTCTTAGAAAAGGGGGGATTGATATAGGGAACTAACACTTAAGGGTTAAAAAAATTAACAAATCTTGAGCCACAGAGTAAGGGGAGGCTGGTGGCAGACAGTTCCTGGTAACAGTAGAGACATGCCGCCCGAAGCATCCTGATAAGCACAAGAACTTGCAGCCTGAAGCAAGTTAAACCGGTGGAAACTGGCTTTTTGGTTTGGAGGAACGCCAAGAAGCCAGAACACATGTGCAAGGAACAAGGCCAAAAAGTTCAGGAAGAGGAGGATGTCTTACTTCATCCTTGAGACCCCAGCCCGCGACCACCCAGACACACTGCACAAGTGCAAGGAGGAAGAAACCAAGGCAGGACATATGGAAATGACTTCCTGGAACTCAGAATAGAACCCGCCCTTTGGGGAAAGGTTATGAATATGTCTAGGCATCTTGCAAAACTATTATGAATATGTAATACTCTGTAGCATATAAGGAAGCTAAAAGCTGCTGTAAGGTGCGCACGATTGTGGTGGGGCGACGCCCCGTGCCGCCCAGCGCTGAATAAACACACCTACTTTACATCCTTACGCGTTGTGGAGTCTGTCTTCTGCACATCGCAGGTGGTGTGAATGGATGGTTGCAGCACACCGGTAATCCTGGGACACGAACCCAAGTGTGTTTCGCAATTCAGTGTCAGCCTTCCTAAATTGTCGTCCAAGCAGCAAGACCTTCTCAAGGCCACACTGAAGAATCAGACCGTTATTTCTGGAATTTCAACTGGTTTTAATTGAAAAATACTTTACTTATTTAAGGCCCCTGAATGCTGCCATTTAAGAAAAGAGCAAGTGCTGGATGGACAAGCTTAGCAATTCATGTGAGTTGAAGCAGTACACTCAGTTCTGGCACAACAGCCAAACCTTAATTTTCTTTCTCCACCACAAAAGCATGTGCTGCCTCGCATAAGAGCTTGTGTAACCTTCAAGAAACTCCCAAATATTGCACCATACACACCCTCCTGCAATGCCACAAAACACATCTGTCGAGGCTAAATCCAGCTTTGTGCCTGAAGCACAAAGGATTCTGCCTTCCTGCCTGCTGAGCTGCTCGTAACTGCTTTGGTATGGCTGAAATCTGTCATTCCTTTCATTATGGGGAAATTTAGCTTCTGTCCAAGTCAGCCTCAACACTAATTTATTTCTTAATCTTGTCCTGATGACAATTTAAGATACCTTTGCATTTATTTCTTCAAGTCTTTCTCATCTCTTTTAAACTAAACCATCCAAGCTACTTTAAAAATTCATATAATTTAAAAATCACATTTATACATCTCGTTTTTACTAGTACTTTTTTTTAAAGAAACTTTTAGACCAGTTTCAAACTTTTAGTGAAGGCTGGCTGATCTTTAAATGAAGTTCCTGATCTTATGAACTGAAACTTTGACCAATGATTTGAAACACAAATTTAAAAAAGTTAAAGCATTTTCTTAGTGCTCAATGTACTGGTGCAAGTTACTTACACCACTTTGTCAAGTCTTCCTTGGAGTATTTTATTTCATCTCGCTCTGCAAGGCTCTGGAACAGTAGTTCATTTAACTTCAGCAAAGCACTTCAATCTCAAATTTTTCTTACCCATCATTTTGCTGTTTGCTCAACAATTTAAGTATTCACTTTTCAGTGTTATAATACCATTTCGAGTGTGTTGCTGCATCACTTCAGAAACTGAGCAAGCCTGAAAATCACGCTTGGTTTTACTGGAAATTATTTACCGACTCCATCAGCCTCAAAAGTTTTCACTGGAAGCAACATAAGGCTCTTTAAAGACTTCTTTTCTTTTCAGCCATAACTGAATGGAATGAATGAAAAACACGGACTTCTTGTGCTCCAGTTCCTCAATCCACTTTTGCAGCTTTCTCCAATTTCAGGCACCACAGACTGTGGGACCAGCTACAGTACAATTTCATTTGTGTTCTTCCTAAACTCCACTTACGCTCATGTTAATTATTTCAATGATAGTGTTTTCAACACACTGGCATAGCCGAACATCAGGGTCCATGCTTGCAATGTCCCTTGAACAACTTTTGTTGGATGAATCTTTGCAAAGTCCTGAAACTTCATGTGGTTTCTCCTTTAGTTGCTGGAGACCTAGAAAATTAAGTAGAAGAAAAAAAGTACAACTAAATAAATAAATTATTTTTTAAAATTGTGATATTACAACCATGACACAAACATGTATGCTACAAAATTGCAAATTTGAGCCATCACTATTTCATGCACCTTTAGGGTTTTTTATATCCCCTCTTACTTCTTTTAACGTAAATATCCTCTAGCATAGATAGCATCAAGGAACCTTGTATTGCATGAACAGAGCATTTGTCTTCAGACAAAAAAAAGAGACAAAAACATGCTCAAGATCAACTGCTAAACAGTTAATCAGTGTTCACACAATCACTATATATTTATCCAACCATGCTATGTCATGTGTAAGACTTCAGGTAGCTCATTTGACTTTGCATTTCCATTGATTAGGAAGATTTATGTGGCTGTTGTGCCTCAGCTGAGGGGCTGAAATGTCCTTGTGTCCTCAAAAGCCAATGGCCTTAGCTCACGTCTTTCATCCTTAGACTACACTGGCAAATTCTATGCACTACATCTTGAAATGATACAAGCAGGGAAATAAAACAGAAAGAAGGCAGTACAAAGTTTAGTAAAAGGGTACTTTCAGCCCCTTTAGCCTCTAAACTCTCTCCTCCAATCCAGTAAATCCACCTATCCCTGTTCCTTCTATATTTACAGGACAAAAGCAGTAGATTTCATACTGCATTCCAACCACACTCACACTTTTGAAACATTATTTTCTCTCTGGGACCATGATGTTACTTTTGAAATACAAGGTACTTTACTTACGTGTAATAATTGGGTCGAAGTCTCTTGTCTGCGTAGCAACATCAGAGGCACAAACTTGTCCTATTTGTATCAGCAGAGACATAATATCCTCGTACAAAGGAGGAAAGGCTTGGCAGAATGACACCAAACAAGGCAGGGTCGGCATAAAAAAAGCATAGCGCTTCGACTGGGTTAAAACTATCAGGGAAAGGGAAATAGTTAAGTAAAAAGGAATTATTATAGAAATCCAGTCAAGAACTGTTGTTATTTTTACAATCGTTATTATCACAGTGCCATTTAGACAAAACTTCATTCAAGCTAGAGAAATAATTCTAATTTACACAGCAACGTATTTAGGGGTTGCTGGAGTGCTTACCTGTGAGTAGGGTTCCCATCACATTGATAGCTAAACGAGCCACGCTGAGAGATTTTGGTAGTGCGTACTGGATACACAAAAATGAAAGTAACTGGATAGCAAATATCTGTTCAGTAGGTGAAAGGCAAAAGAGAAATAAGCAATAAAGTTACAGATTGCTTTGCACCTTCTATCCAAAGCTCTTCACGTAACTTACGAGTTAGTAAATATTCTCTATTTTACCAATGAGAAAATTAAAGCCAGCAAAGCCTTGATAATACTATTCTGATTTTTTTCTGCTGACATTAAGGAAAAAAAAAACCCTACATATATTTAACATTAATCAAAGTACCAGCATTAGTGTTTCAGAATCTCCCCCACAGACACAATTTGTTCTGACATTAAGAATGAACAACAAAGCAACAATTTACAATATAACCCTTGTAAAAGCTGTTTAAGGTCTGATGTGTTCTAGTTTTAACTTCAGTTGAGTGTCTTCTCATCAGCAGTAACTTTGTATTTGAGAAAGGATTAAATAAGAGCAACTACAAAGTTGGCTTGATATAGAAAACAGAGGAATCGTTAGCCCAACAAATTCCAGTCACCTACAACTAGCCAAGTATGTCATCTCCCCTTGCCACAGCATACTAAATCAGGATCTACGAATTGCTTTAGAAAGTAACAAAAACTGATTATTTGCCATTGTTTTTCATAACCATCATGAGAAGACCTTAAAAAATATTGGTGAAACATTTCAAAACGAAACTCTTGACTCCCCCTCTGCTGAGCCTGTGGCAAGAAGAAACTGCCACTCTCCAGATTCAAAGAGCATAACTTTGAGGAAAGCCACGCATGTCATTCCAGCAGGCTTTGTTCTGGCAGTTACACCAGGGAAAGAACCGGTAAGACAACTGGCAAAGGAGAAATTTAAATTGATTTAAAAATTTACACCTTACAGTCTTGTCCCAAGCTTGCTTCAAGAAACAGGAGTAATATTCCCTGGAAATTTAACTTAGTAGTCAAACTTTTCAAGAGAATGAATCAAATTTTAATCTTAAGGCTGCTTCATCTGTTCTACAAAATATCTTTGCACAAAAGGTTTTGAAAATTTAAATCTTCATAGAAATTCCTGTACCTACAAAGTATCAGATAAAAACTACCTAGGCAAAACTTTTCCCAACTGATTTGTACTATATATAAAGAATGAATGAAAATCATTATTGAAAAGTGCTTTTATTCATGTTCTTGAAGGTAATATTGAAATTCATGAGTATTCCCTGAAAAAGTGTACAGAGATACGTTAGAGGAGTTGTCACAACCACTGTCTGAAGGGGATTTAAAGGCCAGGCCTTTAATTTTAGGTAAAAGTGCTACAGATATTACCTTAATATCCTAGGCAAGTTGGAACAGGATTTTTTTTAGTGATCCTTTTATTTTCTCCCCTTAACCAATACTACTTACAGCGACTCTCAAACCAGATGACCGCACAGTACCTGTTTTTCAAGTTCAGGCTGGGCAATGAGCTCTGGTATGAAATCCAGACAGATGTGCATCGACGGAATCCCCGCCACTGTCAGCGCCAGAAGTTCACATGGATAACCCTGTGTGATGTCAAAGGTGTTTTAAAAATTCTGCTTCAATTAAGATTTTAAATCAGATCCGCGTTAATGCCTTCCCCCCCCCCCCAAACTAATATACTTGTAAATCTCTTTTGTTCAGAATTATAAGTAACAGGCCTGTGTCCCGAGGTGACAAACCGAGGGTCTGAATCAGTTCTTTATGCTCAATACTCCAGGTATTATTTGCAGATACATCCCCCTCCACTCCCCAAACTAAACCGGGTTGCACTGACCCTTTCCTTCTGGCTTTCCCCTGTGTTCCAAACTTCACCGTGGGCCCCAACTTGATTACTTCACAACTGCACCATGTTTAGTCACTTAATCAGTTCCAGGTCAAGGCAAATTAGCTCCTTTTAAATGGGCTGCCATCCGGCAATGAGCAATTTAACACACACTAAACCCACATTTATATTAAGAAATTTGCTAATCTTTCCCCTCTTCTTTTTTTGAAGGCGTACGGCTGCTTTGGCAGGGGCAACCTTTCTCCTTCCACTCTAAAGAGATAAACTCTGCCCTAACAAAAAGGAAAGATAAGATCTTTACACTTGAAGCCAAATTACAGTTTTGAATAATGGGTATACTAATTTAAAAACATGGCCAGAAAAAAGTAACCCACAAAAGATGAGGAACAAGTAATTACAAGAGGATTAGGCCAGTTTTCCTTGGCTTAGAATGGACACACTCTTTTGGAATAAAAAAGGGCAGAGGCAGAAAGCAAGCATGTGTTTAGTGATGAGGAACAGGCGTAGTTTAGGTGCTCCCTTCTCAGCTGCAACACAGAGTCCAAGCACTGAAATATGGAGGAAATGTAGGTACTGCAAATTTGGTGGGATGGGAAGCAGAGAAGTGGGCCATTATAATTTCTGAGGATCACAACAGCAGCATTCAACATCCTCTGACCACTTCATTTGGCTCTTTCTTAACCAGAGAAACCATGAAAGAACTAAAATAGTGCAAAGCATACCTGGAAATGAACTAGTTTGACTATGTTGGGATCAGCTATATACATCTGATGCAGCAGACAGCAGATCAGACACTGGACCTCTCGGAGGTTACACAGCAAGCTATCTTCTTCTTCTAGTTCAGGACTCGCAGGGCCCGTGGTACTATGAACACTCTTTAGCAAACTGTGGGTATTACTGCTCTGGGCTTTCTCCTCCTCTGTGGGTAAGCAGATCTCTAGAAGAATCTGCACAGCAGCACTATCCTGTGAAGAAAATAAGCAACAGAACATGCTAAAAACCCCCATGAAATCAAAGAAATCAAATACGAAGTAATGACAATTTAAGAAACGGAAGACTGTCAGGTGGCTAGAACTTCTAGCTGTAGATTTTTTTTATATAGAATAAAACCTCAGTTCAAGAGTCACAAATCCTGTAGAACATTTAAAAAACCCAAGGCTTTATCTGAATCAAGACTCAAAAGAAAAAAATCCGACAGATAATCATCATCACAGATCAGAACACTAAATTCAACAGAATCTCGTATTCTTTCAAAATAAATATCCAATGGTCCCTTAAAGCATCCAGATCAGACAAAATATGCACAGGGCCACGTAATTCACAGTATTCAGGGGAGACTAGGCTACTCATTTAAATATAAAACTTCCTATTAGTTCAAAAATCATCTTCTAATAGGGACTACATATGTGACATTCTTCCAGACAGAGGGAAGAGGAGACTGACTGTGAAACAGGATAACTCTAGAATTCCCATAACATCAAGCTAAGTAAGTTAACCATTCTTCAGCCCCACACTTTACAATGCTGGCTGCTTTCACACCCACGTCTGTCACATTTATTCATGTTTTACTGCTCCAAATCCAAGTACAGAAAGAGCTTCTGGATAACACTGGCAACAAGGAAAAGGGCTAGTAAGCAAAACTCTTCTGTTCTAACTAACCGAAAAGAACACTACCAAAGCAGTTAACCAACACAATGCTTCAGACTAGAAAACAGACCAAAAATATTTAACAATCTGAATACAGAGGTACTTTACTTTATCATGGAAACCGAAATCGGTAAACAAAAGAAGTAAAAAGGTCTCCTTTTTTAATTTCCTGTTTCTGTATTTCTCTTTTATCACTGTCTTTGCTCACATCATCTAAAATCCATTTCTTCCCCCTTACCTGAGCAGCAAGCAATGCATTTTTTAATTCTTCCCTTGTAACTTCTGGGGCCTCTGGACCCATTGCATTGTTCTGGGATGGCCTAATGTCCTGCTCTGCTGTTTCTTTTAGGTGAGAATTGAGGTAAGCTTTTGAAGCAAGAAGATAGCCGTTCAACATGTGCAAAGTTATATCCATCAGAGGAGGACTCCTGATACGGGAACACATGAGAAAATAAAGGCATTTCAGTAGGCAGAACAATAAGACAGTAATAATGTGAAGACACTAAAAGCACTCCTCAAAGGCTCATTTGGTTGTAGTCTGTTTTCCCTAACACAGCAAAGTACTAAAGGTGACAATCCCCCCTGCTGCCCTGCCATGCAGTCCTACTTCTCTCATGCACACAGATGCGCGCACACTCTACAAAACCAAGGAACTGCTGAAGAGACTAATTTCTGAGGAACAAAGGAAACCCAAAAAGTGTCAGCTGTACATGAAGTAAGGAGAAACAATTATCTGAATGACTGGGAAAAAAAGGCAGACAAGCTCTGAACTGCTTCCACAATACTAAGATGGTAGTTTTCAAATCCCATTGCATTAAAAATCTCCCTAACAGTTTTAGAAATGTAGGATTTTCAATTTGTATCCAAGGCTGAAGGGACATACATTTATAAATTTCAACTATGGATTGGGGATTAAAGATGTCATCTACTGAAACTTGAAGTCTAGCAGAGTTGTAGCAACTCAAAAGAAAATTGGATTCATGGCTCAATTGCTAAAAGGCAAGGAGCGACACATGCATACAAACAAGAACGTGAAGAACAAATCAAGCTGACTATTAGCCATTTATTATGAACAAAAGGATAATACAAAAGGGGAAAAATAAACCACAAGTGTCAGAAAACATGAAAAAGAATACACAAGGAATAAACCTATGGGCTGAAGTACATTTAAAATGATTAACCATATCTTTTTTAGAATAATAGATGCAATTTTCTTCATTACTGCGAAAAAACAAAGTTGTAATTTACAAATTCTGACTTATTATTTGCATTATTTCATATGCTCTTTAAAAGCTGGTCCATTGCTATCAGTTACGATCATTTTCACTACTAAAATTCTCAGCTTCTTATGCATCGCAGCCATAAAGCAGCATTACACATCCTCCTCTGTCATCACTGACATCTAGAGGAACTAATTTCTAAGTACTACTAAAAGACTTTCTTGGGAAATTAAGCAGATCTACCTTTGTCATATCCATCACGCACCCACTGGCAGAAACCATTACCCAACAAGATGGAATACTTACAGGCCCACGAGGGATGGCAAAAGGCAGCACGCAGTGGAAGGATGTTACAGCTACATCCTCACCCGCCACCTCCCCCTGTGGCAGCAGCCATTTTAAGCATGCTGCAATGTCTATTTAGAACAAATTCACACACACAAAGCTAAAATGGATGATCGATGTACAAATCCCAAATTTTCCGAAATAGAACTGAGCATAAGGTTGTCCAACAAGACACTCGGCTGGACAGTATGACATGCTGAAACAGCCTGCACAGATCACTCAGTCCTCCCACCAACGACCTTAATACAAAAAAGACGGAATTTACAAGCTCAGATGATTAGTTTGAAAATATGTTTTGAAGTACTGAAAGCTTTTAGAAGTTTTCTGTGAGACATCTTGATGTTTAGCATGCACCATGTATCAATGTAAGTACCGCAGAACATAAAAAGCTACAGGAGAGAGATGCTTACCTATGAACTCTCTGATCGCATCTTAGTACAATCAAAGGATCAATCATCAGATCATTCTGGGTGTATTTCTGCTGTCGGACTATTTTTGCTGAAGGCTGCAGAGCATTAACAGTCATCACCCACAACCTAAAATGAGATTATTTTTATGATTTTTTTAATAGATAATCTGTATGAGAAAAGGGACCACATAACCATCTGGAGACTCACTTATCTCAGCTAGCTGTTATTGTTCTAGGCCTATCAAGGAGCAAAAAACCCATAACTCATTTGAGCCCTTGAATTTAACCCAGTTAACTTACATTCACTGGCATTACAGCAACCAAACTGTTTTCACTGCAACGCAGCATCCATTTCCTCAGATGAGGCATGTTCTTACCTGAGTTCGTTCATGTTTCATCAGTAATTTGTCATAAGGAATCTACACTACAAAAACATACTCCTATATTTTAAGTGAACTGGTGACTTCCTTTCCCCAGAGAACAAGACTCATAGAATAGAATCATAGAATTGTTTTGGTTGGAAAAGACCTTTAAGATCACCAAGTCCAACTGTTAACCTAACACTGCCAAGTCCTTTTAAATACAAAGGTTAATATTTTCAACAAAACAAAAAGGAATGCAACTCCAGCACGTTCTCTTCAGTCACAACCTCCAATTTCCCAGACAAAGGCATTATGTTATTATTTTTGAAACAGAAAGTGGCATTCCTCCTGTCTGCAACAACACACTAAACAATATTTTGAACCTACCTTCTTGGCATCACAGTGTTAAGAACCATCCAAAGTTTATTGACAGTCTGAAGAATCCTCCGAGGGACTCCAGCATTCAGCAAGCGATTCATATTTGATGTCAATACTTCTGCATATGGGATCAATTCACCGGCCGAGAGAAGTGTTAAATGTTCTAAGATCTGCATCAGCTGGGTGTGATTTCCAGGCAGCATGGAAAATGCTATCAAATAAAGACAACGGCATCTTGGTAAAACCGGATTTCTGACATTGTTTCTGACTCCTTGACCTGAAGACTCATATATTAACAAGTTTGCAGCAGAACATCTTCATTATACAAATGCAGTATGATCAAATGAATTAAATGGCTACACACTTCCAAACCCACCACATTCCAACTAATTTGGAAAGAACACTGCTTACTTCAAATTAAGTTAGTTACCTTCCTGGAGCTGTTTGGGAGAGTGATTCTTTGCAATGTTAGTCAGAAGCATCCTCCTCAGTAAGGCATCAGTGCCCGTGATCTGTTCCTCACAGATCCAGTCTTCCACGATGCAGAGGTGTGGATAGTTAGTTGCAAGAAGGCGTAACAGTGCAGAATGCAAGCCTTCAGGGAGAGTAAGAAAGTATACATCTTAGACTTAAGTAGTGACATCTTTCACCTGAACATATTTGTGCTTATTATTTCAACAACAGACCTTAACTGAATCACTGCCAAGAAGTTCAATGAACTTGCATGTTTATAGCCTGATATTCTAATTCCAACAGAAAGGAGAAGTTACCTTTTGGAAAGGTGGGAGGACCCTATAGTAACTCTTAAACTCAGTCTGGAATAATCATAAATTCTCAGGCAATCCCTACTCTAAAACCTACTCTAGGTAGGTACGACCTACTCTAAAAAGAACTGCCTTCCTCAAACTTTCACTATTACTCTTCATACATATCCGTAATGTCACTAGTTACTACTGACAGATTTTAAAAGAAAAAGGACGACACACTATGAAACAGACAATAACCACAGGGCCGGAAACACGTGGCGCCTTCCGTCTGCATGCACGTCAGGCTTTCACACACAGATCTACCTCCCAGCTCCTGCTGCAGTCCTTGTGCTTGCCGGATGAGGTACTTGATTGGGATCTGATCCATTAACGCTGATGAGTAAGACTTGGGTTTTTTCTGCATGGCAGCTATAAGGGAATGGGACAAGAAACCACATGTAACAGTTACAGTTGGAAAAAAATATTTCCCCAACTGAATCAATAAAGAAAATGTAAAGCACTTGTCTCTATATTATCCAGGTAAAATAGAGAAAATCCCAAGTAACACACCTCGTTCCTGTTAAAGTATTATATCCTGTTAAGGCTCTTCAGGAAACCATTTCTGTGAACATTTCTATTTAAAGATTTCCCTGGCATTCAGATTTGTTGGCAAGACCTCCGTACTATCTTTGCCCAAGTCCAACTGATTTTGACATCATAGCTCAAATCTGCACTTTCTTTATTCAAGGGGTTTTATTCTTAAAAAAAACGGTTGGCACATGGAATTCAAACTGTTGGCACACACAACACCCTGTAGTGAGGTGGAAGGTACAACTGCAGGAAGAACTATCATTTATTTTACAGTATTTCAGTCTTTCTTGACTAGCATGAAGAAAATAGCACTGATGAATGCTGGAAGTTTTGCACCCTAAAAAGGGCAGGTACAAACACCCACCAGATATAAATACTGTTTTCACTGAAATTAAGCTCCATCAATAAACTACATAACATTCTTTCAGAATTGATTTAAAGTCTCAAAGGTAAAAAGGGATCATTCAATATTGTCAACCATAAAATTGCCAACCCAAACAACTGTGACACATGAATAAATGAAGATCTGAAGTAATTAAGAAGTCTTTGTGAATCATTGCTGTATTAGATGATCAGAAACTATTTCTGGCAACTTTTTGGCCAGCCTGGACCTTTTTTAATCTGGAAAACAAATTCCTCAGAGTTTTAGCAGAAACTTTATCTCCTGAATTTCTACAGCAATGCTGTATTTATTACAGGAATCTAAATTTTTTAATGCTGTGCTGGAATCTGATAGCAACATGAATTTTGGTTATTGTAAGAATTCCTCTCTATGCATCTAATTTTCAGTTAATCTGTTTTCCACCGATGCACTCACATATACCTAGTATCTTTGTGTTTGCCAGAAGCGCCTCTTCGTACGACAGGACATAGTAGAGGACAAGCAATTGTGTTGTGATGCTGTATCGTTGAGTAAGACGAGTATTTTCTCCCTGTACATAAAACCACATACAAAGGTCATGTTGCATTCCTGATTCTTGAGAACAAACATTTGGATTTACCTGCAAATATGAAGAAAGACAGGGCAGTAAGCCTTGTATAAAAATATCAAGCGATACGAGGTCCAAGCGGGGAATATTTTTTTTCTCTTTTTTTTTTTTTAAATGAACTTCAAACATAAAATGTCTTGGGACACTAATAAGGAGTAATCCCATGATTCCAGCGTAAGGCAATGTTTGCCACTCATTCTACATGTGTCCAAGTGACTACTCTTTTATTTCTATGAAAATCAAAACGCTTCTTTCAAAACCAGCTAGAGCGCTTCAGTTAAATAGTATCTTTACCTAACAAGATCAAGTCAGTTCAAAAATTATACAAAGCCTACATAAACACCTGTGCTTTTCAATCCATGAAGGGCTTTTCTTTGCACTTTTAACAGCATGAGTTGACGAGTTCCCAAGGAAAAGGGCAAAACAGGGACAAATAGCAATCCGCCTCAAAATCTGAGTAGCACTAACAGGATTCACTTCAAAACACATGACCATCACTGTAGCAGGAGGCAGTTTACTACACAGGCATTAAAGGCAAAAAGCGAGGCAACTTACAAATTTGCACCAAGCACATATACAAAATACTGAACCACATGTCTACATTAAAGTACATGAAAGAAGCGAACAGATCATTTACCCCCGAGAGTCCTTGAAAAACATTCAGTATCTCCTGCTCCGTGACAGGCTGATTTGTGGCCTCTGGGTTGGATTTAGATGCAGGAGTAAGAATAGAGTTAATGTAGACATCAATAAGAGGAAGCAACTGAGGATGGAGTGGAGTGGTGGTTTCACAGAGCTGCCGATAGATCCAGTCCTAGACAAAACCATGCCATTACACAATTAGTTTCAAAGCTGGAAGGCAATTTTAATTTTTTTTCTGCAGTTACATTCCCTTTTAACTAGTTACAAAAAACTGTAACTGAGTGAGGCTCTGACTTTGGAAAGTGTAACACCAGTTCTGAGTTGGGCCTGGTCATAAACCTTGTAATTCTGACTCTGCTCTGTACAGACCCACCAACAAAACTTGTCCTGGCTGGAAACAGCATTCTGACTATGATTTTATTAAGGGCAGACAGGGGGAGAGCGCTAACTTTCTTATTATTTTTAACTTCACTAAGTTGTCATCTCTGGATTACAGAGCTAAAACTGGGTACCCTAACTTAGTACACAGTTCCTTCTTAAATTACACGGTAATACGCTATAAGATTCATCAAGAATTCTGTTCCTGTAATTCAACCAAAAAAACAGCCTGCAAAACCTAGTCAACATTCAAAATTGTGAACAGAAACGAAGGTCATACCTTAATGGATACTTTGTGCTTGGTGAATGATCGACTTTTTAAAAGCTGGTAAATGCAGTGAATAGGTAAAAACCCAGTAATGTTGGCACTGAGATTCCCTGTAACAGGCACGCGAACTGCGTGAGCGGTAACAACCTAAAGGAAAGTTATAATTAACAAGAAAAATACCACAAACATTCAACTTATCACAATGCATAAGCACAAAGTGACCAAGTTGCACAGCTCCATTCTTCCTGCATTTACTTATTTTTGGTTGTTTGGAAGCTGAAGAACATTTTGATGTAGCTTAATACAGCATGTGTAAAACTGTAGCACACGTACCACATTCGTGAACGGTTTCCTGCTACCACAAAAAATAGTGTCAGAGTGGACCATTTTTCTCCTTTGCTTCCCCATTATTTAAAAAAGCCAAGTGTTTAAAAAGCATAATCAGATCAGAGTACAAAAAGAGTGATCCAAGGCTCTTCAGTACCAGCAGGGCTTTGATTCTTCTTGTAGGTCAAACTGAAGTGATTACAGGAGAAAGAAAAATAAAAGGAGGAAAAGAAGAAAAAAAAAATTACCTGTTCAGTGAAAATCTCCTGTGTGAAGATTGTCTTCATTCTGCTGAGTGAGCTGGGCTTAATAACAATCTGAAATAAAGAACAAAGTACTTGTAATTTTAAGTTCTAGCTTTCTTATTTGTAAGTACTGCGAATTTATTTTATAAACTGTTAACTTTTAACCTTTTTAAACTGGTCTTCACTGGTATACCAGGAAAACACTCAGATCTATACTTCAAATGTAAACCAAAAATATTTTTAAATAGCATGAGTTCATCACTCCACATCTTCCTTATCCTGAAAACTACCTACCTAGCTTTCACATTTGATGAGACACTGTTTCATGACAGTGAATTGAAGATAAGTCTCCCTCAGTAATTTTCAGAAATTGTTACACATCTAGATTTTTCTTTAAACTATTTAAAATAAAAAGTTTGCAGCTCAGTTTGGAAACTACTTCAATTAGTCTTCTAAAAAAGTTCATTTCTTGCAAATAATGATTTCAACAAGTCAACACTTTTTGAAGATCCTTTTATCGTAACACTCCTCTGTATCAAGAGGTACGCGTAGTTTAACGTCTCTCTAGAGGAACTCATGTAGTTAGTTACCCATTTTTTAACTTTACATTTGCCTTAAGCATATTAGCAAAAGCAAAGTTCTTTATATCAAAACTAAATACAAGAGTATAAATACAAAGTAAAAAGTTAATTTTAACAGAGAAATGTAGGTGCTAGGAACAGTTTAGGATTTACCTTCATTCCCAAGGTGGAGCAGACCAAATCAATGATAGCACTGAGCTGATTGCTGTGGAAATACATGGCTACCAAGAGAAGCATCTCTCCAAAAGAAGCAGACACACCAGAAATGCTAACGATAACAAAGAGGAAGAGTTAATTTCCAATAGGACGTAAGTAAACGCCAGATTACTGGCATCGTTACAAACAAAAGAAGCCTGCTCTCACCTTTCAAAGTAAGCTTCTTCCTTTATCATCCAACTAAGCCACATTACCATGAGCTGCTCCTGTTCCGGCGTGCTGCATAAAGAAAATCCGTAAAAGACCTTTTTTCCCAGGAACTACAGCTGGTTTTACTAACAATTACTAGCAGAAAAGCCAGTATTTGAGGAATCCGATGCCAGGAGACTTTTTGTCACTTTCACTTCAGCATCAAACAGCTGATGAGCACTAATAATTAGCACAAACTTCAGTCCAATTGTGAGGCAATTTCCTGTCTTGAATGCACACAGCAGAAAGCTACATCCATTAAACACCTATATTGCTACTCTTTGAACAGGGTCTCTAAAGAATTTAGCTATAAACTTGTTCAATGGAAAACTGAACTACTAAGGGCTACTTCAGCCTTCAGAAACCATTCCAAATTAAGCCAATACCGATGCCCCCCTCTCAAAAGATTTGCTATAAACAAGAGGGAGAGCAGAGTGGAATATCAATTTACTCACCACACAGTGACACAAATCCCTTCAACCAACATATGGAGATTTGTATAAAGAATTAGGAGAGAAAAATCTGTGTGGCTCTGGGGAGGTGATTGCCTTACTGGTGCTAAAACAGTAACATCTTTACAAACCCGCTCCTTTACTGAGAGGTACCTGACAAGAGTGGAGAAGGCCAGAAGCATACAGAAGGAAAGAGATACAAAGCGAACACCAGCTGGAGTTGCGGGAGGCCGGCTGGTCATCAGCTGCAGCAGCTGCTCCGCTTCTTCATCAGTTGGCCTGAAGAGGACAGAAAAAGAACAAAACCCACACCGCCGATTGAAGTGAAGAGATTCCCAATCTCACCGCAATGGTTAAAGATTAAATTTTCTCTGTTACTTAATCTGTTTATCAAGTTGCCATCAATAAATGAGTATCAAGATTAACTGGCAATTCTCTTTGAACTTAAAGACATAAAAATCTCTGTTAAGAGATAACAACAGTGAGAAAACTTCCCCAGGATATAATCTAGCCTACTAGTACAAAATACTTAAAATTAATGGCGCATGAAGATGTTTCGTTATCACTCTCTAAAAAGTAAAAACAGAGGAACAGAAATTCTAAATTCACGTGGCGTATGTTGCTAGAGTTTTCAGCTGCTTTCTACTCTGCACACTGAGGCCTAGACTTCTTTTAACAAGTCAGTCGAACTGATTTTGCAGCATTAAAGACAGCACCACATTTCTTGCATTATTTTAGATTTAAAAAAATCAGAAAAGTTGACAAATGGATCTGTACCATTAGAATGAAAAAACTTTTCTGCTGAGAATAGTACCGTAAAGTTAAATCCATACGTGTCTCCATAGACCTTAGTATTACAGAATATTTGCTCTCTGCACTATAAAGATAAAGAAACGACTCCGTCCCTCAGCATATGAGACGGGTCTAGTCCTCTAGTACTAAAATTGGCGAGTCCTGTCAAGACCGCTTCAAGGACATAACAGCCTTTAGAGACAGCTCACGTTAAAAGCGCCTCAACCTCTGTTTAAATGGTCAGACAGCAAATCAAAACCACAGAGCATTAAAACATTCATTACTTCAGCCCAGCAATTCCCATCAAAGCGCAATAGAGACGTAACAATGCGCTGGCTTTCACGACGTGCTCTTCCTTCAGTCCGGAATACACAGACACGTTTGGCTCCGTATCAACATCTGCTTCTTCAACAATGTGTGTGCTGCGAACCGTGGGAAGGATTCCCATGAGCTCCAGGAGCAGCTGCCTCCTCATTTGCCAAAGCACGGAACTGATATTATCTCTTTTTCTCTGTGTAACAAGTTAAAAGGTTAGAACACCAGTGTAAAATTCATCCCATTGATGTATTACATAAAAGCTTCCACAATGATGAAGTCAAGGGAAAAAAGAAGGCGGGGGAGGAAATTTTTTAAAATACAATTTTCAGTACCACGGCAACAGGCAACACATGATCACATCACAACAGCTTATTACATCAAAACCAAGTTTTAACTAACTCAACTAATCAAGCAAGTCAAGAAACAACTTCCCATTGTGAACACTGAGGATGAACGTATTCATCAGGTAAACATTACAAACTTGCAATTTCCATGTCTATTGAATCATCTACCTAAAAATCAACAACCAACTAGCTGCTTTCGGGGACACTATTTATAGACCTGATGGTCCCGTAAGAAGACGTTGCCTTGTAAAAGTTGCTCCAAGACTTGCAACAGGATTTATACGCCGACAAATACGGGTGGCTCCATCCAGAAGACTTACAGCAAACTAGAAGGATATTTTTTAAAAAGCAGAATATTGAAGGCTTTTCCTACCTGTTGGCCATTTCGGATAAAAGTTCCAAACCAAGTTCGAACCTTTGCGTTTGTTCCAAGTAGCAAACCACTCACAAAACACACCAGGTCACTCACTCCATCATCTGAAGCTTCATTTTTGGTGTGATCCAAGGTCAAAGCCACACCAAGACCTGGTAGATGACACTCTTCCACCTAGATAAAATGCGCAGGCTCAATCATCTTTTTAAAGCTCCAATAAGGATCATAACTATGATTCTCATGAGAACCTAATGACCGACTTACCACCATGCCTCGGACTCTCAGAGCTTGGGAAGGGTTCATTTTGCACAGGTGGCGAAGTGCTTCTGTTCTACGACGACCTCCAACACTTTCCTCATCCTGCCGTTCACCATTCTTAATCAAACCTCTGCAGACTAAATATCCAACAGGAGGTGTAAGTAAATCTGACCTTTCCAAGAGAAAGCCAAGTAAACATAAACGCACAAAGCCAAGCCGCTCTGTTCAGCTCCCTGTGATTTATCAGTTGGGCCACACAAATCTTCTCTGAGCAAGAACTCATGATCTATGCTACATAAGCAGAATAAGGAAATGGTCTTGCTCCTCAGAGAAATTACAGGGTCATTACAGGTTTATGCATCATCCAATTACTACTCATGCTCTATCTAATGTAACCTGTGCATCTGGCAGTCCTGGAGACTGAAATCTTATTGCGAGGTAAGGGATGTTAAACAGGCAATGTCAATACAAATTTTTCACCTCGTAATACGGTTCAGGGACCAGAACCATTAGCAAGGTTAGGCCGGGTTCACAGTCCCAGTCATTCCCTGCCCGAGTCAGCCTTTGTAACGGTGACCTACAGATGAAAAGCCGCAACATCCGCAACATCCACACCATGAGTCTACATGTAGGCTGCAAAAAAAGGGGAATCAACATGACGAGAACGGGAGCCCGTCAGCATCTCTAGGTATAAATGCATTCAAACTCTATTTCATAAGCCAAACGCTCTCCCATTCAAGTATTTATGACACATGGCTTAGCCCAGAATTAACTATATTGCTAAAAATAATTTCAAACCTTTACAAAAAGTAAGCTGGACAAGGAGAAACTGTAACTCACCCTCATTAAAGCTATCGGGAACATTGGCCACGAGAAGGCAGAGGAACCAGGCTCCATTTTTAACGTGCAACAGAGCTTCAGCCACATCAACTATCGGCAACAGCGATGGCAGCTCTGGATAAAAAGATAGTTTTAAAAGTCAGTGTTTCACTGTGAACCATGTAAAAACTTGTTTTTAATATGCATTTAAGTAACACGCTCAAGTCAATAAATCAATCTGTGATCTTTCCTCTTTCAAAGAGCTAGACAGCCGAGAGAAATCTTAAATCAGTCACAACAGCTCCAAAAGTTGTTACATTTGTAAGAGATTAGAAAACACTACAAATATAGAATACTACACCTGCTTGCAAAATGCAGAGAACATCTGCTGCCTCCTCCAGATAAACAGGACTCTCGAAGAGCTCAGAAGATTTCAGAAAAAACTCACCATTTGATTCTGACACCTACAAGACATTATTCATTATCACTGAACAGGTTTTACGAAGCAATTTGTCTAATCAGTCTTTTACAGCCTTAAATTCAGCAGATTGAATACATTAAAAACTGTCAAAAATGTACAGCTATAAACACAGAACAGGCAAGAACAGCATTTAGAGTAAGAAATATTTACTAGTGGAAATACTTCAATACGGCTGCTATTATTGCTTCTTTCCCAAGAAAGAGAAATAGCTCACTGACAACTCTAAAACCACGTTAAGTTTACACAAGGAAAATGAAATGCTGGGGGAGGTGGGGGGGAGAGGAGGACGGATAAGAGAAATACGGTGGCTAATATCATACTGCAACAGGAGTAAAGAACTGGACAGAGAGAAGCCATAATTACGTTTTCAAATAAGATTTCTGCACTGATGAATCACAAAAATCTCATTATATTTGAGTACAGCATATTACAGAATATACAGAGCCTGTATCACATTAAAAAAGATTACCCTCCTTTGTTCTGAGGACAAAAGACTTCCTCTAGGAAGCTGGGTTCACAAGGAGTTTAATCAGAAGCCACTACTCAATCAGACTGTGAATTTAAGCCTCGGTGAAGCACGGAAGGGTACTCACACACACCAGCAGCACCAGAAACAGAACCAGACAGCACAGCGACCTATCCACAGAGCATTTTCACCCACACAAAATTCACAAGTGTCCAAGTACGGAGAAATTTACCTTATTCATAATTGCTAGTAACTCGCTAAGCACGAGACGAAGCCGACGGGGTGAATCGCTGTGTTCAAATTCCAGCGTCAGCCCGTGCTGAAGCTGCGACACCAAGATGCTTTCTCCGCTACCTCCTCCCAGCTTGTGCCTAACAGACAATTAAACCCAACAACTACTAAATGTTTCTGCAAACACAGCAATTTTATCAGGTAAAGGAGGGCTGTAATTCCGTAGGGATTTCTTCTACCACGCGTGTGACCCGAAAACACCGCTGTAGCACACCACGAACTCGAATTCCGTGGGTACGACAGCAGCAAGGGCCCCTGTTCCCGGCGCAGGGACAAGGGTCGGTGAAGACGCGGAGGCCACGCCAGCCACCCCCCTGCCC